CCAGCACCAGCAGCAGCTTGCCCAGTTGAACGCCGCCATGCAGAAAGTGCTCCAAACTCTGCATAATCTGCCCAGCGCTCCGTTACACCTCAGGGAGCGGCGAGTGCCACCAATCCACCTGTTCCAGTGCTATCACCCACTCCTGCGGGAACCCTCGCCCTACCTGAGCACTATAACGGTAAACCTACTAAATGTAGCGGCTTCCTGCTACAGGTTTCCCTTTATCTGGTGCGTCAGCCTGGGGTGTATCCATCTGACCAAGCCAGGATAGCGTTGGTGATTTCACTTCTTAAAGGAAAGGCGCTGGATTGGGCCACGGCAGTCTGGGACGGAGAGGAGGCAATGGCACTTCCCTACCCCACCTTCCTCGCTAGGTTCAGGGCGGTGTAAGATCATCCCACGGAGGGAAAGGACGGGGTGAGCGTCTCCTCCATCTAAAACAGAGAGAGGGGCCTACGTCCGAGTATGCTATGAGCTTCCGCACGGTGGCGGCGTCTTCCGACTGGAATGAGTGTGCTCTGTGCACAGCCTTCAGGAGAGGCTTACGGGAGGACATCAAGACGGAACTCGCATGTCGGGACGACGAGATGGACCTTGATACCCTCATCACCACGTCCATCCGTCTTGACGACATGCTGAGAGAGAGACGCTGTTCCCAACACCTCCCGGAGCCTCGACGCTCACCCCATCTGAGCTATGGAAGCCGCCCTGCTTCCGAGTCCTCACCCATGGAGGTGGGCAGCACCCCCTACACCACCACGGACCACAGATCTCCTGGTGGCTCCCTATCTAGGCGGTATGACTCCCGTCGCCGCTCCGAGAGTGTTACATCAGCTCCTATCACAAAACCATTGTTTTTAGTTCCCATAACGGTGACTGGTTATTCCTTCTCTTCCATTTCTACCGCAATGATAGATTCCGGATCAGCAGGGAACCTTATAGATAGGGAGCTGGTCTCTGAATGGGGGTTGCCCACCGTGCCACTGCCATCTCCGCTACACGTCACCTCACTGGCCGATAAACCCCTTGGATCAGGCACCATTACGCACGTCACTCTCCCCATCACCATTCCCACACTACCAGAGCACCATGAGGAGCTGCCATTCCACATCGTCACATCGCAGTGCTAGCTGTGCCACTAGAGATCCTGGTTCGAATCCAGGCTCTGTCGTAGCCGGCCGTGACCAGGAGACCCATGGGGCGGCGCACAATTGGCCCAGCGTCGTCCAGGGTAGGGGAGGGAATGGCCGGCAGGGATGTAGCTCAGTTGGTAGAGCATGGCGTTTGCAACGCCAGGGTTGTGGGTTCGATTCCCACGGGGGGGCCAGTATGAAAAAAATTAAAATAACGTATGCACTAACTGTAAGTCGCTCTGGATAAGACCGTCTGCTAAATGACTAAAATGTAAAAATGTCACATCACCCCTTCACCGGATCGTCTTGGGATTGCCCTGGCTCAGACTACACAACCCCACCATCAATTGGAGCACCAAGAGGATCACAGCCTGGTCCACCTCATGCCGGAAGACCTGCCTGCCGGTGGTTTGTTGTTCCACGTCAGTGGAGAGTCCGGAGTCCGCCCTCCAGCCCAACATTCCACATGAGTATGCAGATCTCTCCGATGTCTTCTCTTCATTAAAGGCTACGTGTCTCCCTCCCCACAGGCCCTGGGACTGCGCCATTGACCTGCTGGAGGGACAACACCCCCCGAAGAGACGCATTTACCCCCTTTCCATGTCGGAGACTGAGGCCATGGAGAAGTATGTGGCGGAGACCCTGAAACAGGGGTTCATCAGACGCTCTACCTCCTGCCTCCACAAGCTTCTTCTTCGTGGCCAAAAAAGACAGAGGACTGAGACCATGCATTGACTACAGGGGGCTGAACGCAGTCACCACCAAGTACCGGTACCCCCTCCCTCTGGTTCCATCGGCCATCGAGCAGCTACGAGGGGCCCTGTACTTTACCAAGTTGGACCTGAGGAGTGCCTACAACCTGATCCGAATCCGGGAAGGAGACGAGTGGAAGAATGCATTCAGCACTACCTCAGGCCACTATGAATACTGTGTCATGCCCTACGGCCTCGCCAACGCACCTTCTGTGTTCCAATCCTTCGTCAATGACGTGTTCCGGGACATGCTGAGTAGACAGGTGGTGGTGTACATCGACGATATCCTGATCTACTTGGCTACATTCATGGAGGACGTCAGGGACGTCAGAGCTGTCCTACTCCGCCTCTGGGAACACAGCCTGTTGGTGAAGGGGGAGAAATGCGAATTCCACCAACAGGCCAACTCCTTCCTGGGATACCGGATCAGTCCTCAGGGGGTGTTCATGGAAGGAGTGAAGACGGACGCCGTCAGGTCATGGCCAGTTCCCACCACCATCAAGGGTCTACAGAGCTTCCTGGGCTTCGCTAATTTCTACCGGCGTTTCATCAGGTCCTTCAGCTCCATTGCCGCCCCGCTTACCTCTCTCCTTAAGGGTGGGCCTCAGAAGCTGGCCTGGAACCCTGAGGCTGACGCTGCCTTCAAGAGGCTGAAGGAGAGTTCACCACAGCGCCCATCCTAAAACACCCAGATCCATCTCGTCCTTTCATCCTGGAGGTGGGCGCCCTCCTCCTCTATGCCATTGGAGGAGGGCATGGATGCGGTCCTCTCCCAGCGGCACGGTAAGCCAGAGAAAATGTATCCCTGTGCCTTTTTCTCTAAAAAGCTTACTTCCGCAGAGAGGAACTGTGGAGTTGGAGCTGTTTGCGGTGGTCCTCGCTCTGGAGGAATGGAGACACTGGCTGGAGGGCGCAGTCCATCCATTCCGGATTCTTACTGACCACCGGAATTTGGAGCATATACGGGCAGCGAAACGGATTAACTCTCGTCAAGCCAGGTGGGCCCAATTTCTCACTCGCTTCCAATTTATTCTGTCCTACCGCCCAGGATCCCAGAATGTGAAGGCCGACGCACTCTCCAGGATGCACCATACCGGAGAAAGAAAGGATCTGGGGGGTCCTATCCTGCCCTCGTCTCTCATCGTTGCTCCTGTCGTTTGGGATGTGGACGAAGACATCTGCCTGGCGGCTCAGGAGGACCCAGCGCCTGCCAACGCCCCTCCGGGGCACGTGTATGTACCCACCAGTGTCCGTGACCGCCTGCTGATCTGGGCACACACCACCCTTACGGCAGGGCACTCTGGTATTACGCGCACCCTGCATTCTCTAGCCCAAAAATACTGGTGGCCCACCTTGGCTTCTGATGTCTCCTGCTACGTCAACTCCTGTTCCGTATGTTCCCAAACGAAGACTCCTCGGAACGCCCCGGCAAACTAGTTCCTCTCCCAGTGCCTCAGCGACCTTGGTCACACCTGTCCATAGACTCTGTCACCGACCTTCCACGTTCTGATGGCTTCACCACAGTCATGGTAGTCGTAGATCGGTTCTCCAAATCATGCCATTTTTTGCCACTAACTGGTCTTCCTTCTGCTCTCCAGGTCGCTGAGGTCCTGTTTCAACAGGTCTTCTGGCATTATGGACTTCCGGAGGACATCGTCTCACTTCCGGGTATAGGCCTCAGTCTAATGGGCAGGTGGAGCGCATGAACCAGGAGCTGGCAGGGTGAGTGGGCGAGGTTTCTTCCCTGGGCAGAATATGCCCAGAACTCCCTTGTTCACTCCTCCACGGGGCTCACTCCCTTCCAGGGCATCCTGGGGTACCAGCCGGCCCTGGCCCCTTGGACACCCAGCCAGACCGACGCGCCCGCTGTCGACGAGTGGTTCCACAGGGCCGGACAGGTCTGGGACGCTGCGCATGTCCATCTTCAGAGGGCCATTCGTCGGCAAAAGGACCAAGCCGACCGCCACTGCAGTGAGGCCCCTCTATGCCAGCCTGGTGATTGTGTCTGGCTGTCCACAAAAAACCTCCCTCTCCACCTGCCCTGCAAGAAACTGAGCCCCCGGTTTGTGGGGCCGTTTAAGGTCCGTTTAAGGTCCTCCGGCGGATAAATGAGGTATCATACCGGCTGCTCCTTCCCCCTCACAGCCCTGGACTGTTCTGGATGATGATGTGAGGGATTGTTTAGCTTCGTGTTGTTTACTCTCTTTGTTATTTCTCTTGCTCATTGTTAAATAAACCTTGACCTTGTTAATTCCTGCATCCTGACTCTTCGTATACTCAGTACGCGTCACACCCCAATTCAAGATGGATGCCCTGCCCAATTCAGAGTTTGGACAATTACAAAGAATGCGTGGCTACTAAAGATCTTTATTTCTTCTCAATACATATTCCTTAGATTAACTACATTGATGATGAGAAATTAAAGCCACACATCAGTCTCTAAGTGCCCTGTCATACAGTGACAACATTGACAGAATTGTTGACTTCTCTATCAATGCTCTGTCTTTTTTTGCCCCTCTTTCATTCCACCTTGTCCTCCATCTGCACTCTGGTGAGTCTGTCTGTGCCACCTTGGGCACCACCCATCAGTATCCATGCCCACTAGTCCTGCCAGGCATGTGGGCATCTCTAAGCTAGGGGGCTCTCTCAGAGCACAGCCCTGATTATCTCGGTTCAATTGACTCATTTAAGCAATTGTACCTTGGTGGTCTATGTGGTTTACTCTATGGTTTGGTGTGCAATTAACATTAATTCTGTATTTTATCTGATTGTAAGAAGCAGTGATATATAAAATCCCTGTTATGTAGCCTAAATGCATAGCTAGGCCTAAATAGATCAATAAATAATGGGTGTCCATTGTTATGCTATGATAGAAGTGAAATCGATCTTAAAAACGACATCAAACGAGAACATTTCCTTCCTTCTCTCTCCGTTTTTGTTACTCTCTTTCTCCTTCCATTTTCATTGCCTCTCTCTCTCTTTCTGGCTGTGTGAGCGCGAGCGCGGTGACAGATGGCGAGTCCCTCTTCCCTCGGGAATGCAATCTCTGTGAATGCGGGCGCATGTCAATCACCCGCGCTCATGTGATGGCTCTTGCCAATGACGTGCCAGCCATATGGCCTGGCATCATAGCTGGTATGTAACCCACCCAGCCCTGGTAGAGGATGCCACACTACTGTCTCCGTGCGTTTGGGGTAGGGATAACACAGCGAAGAAGCATCGAGCTAGGCTACAGCCTCACCTATTGGAGTGTCCGTACAGGAGGGGTGTGGACTTGGACTGGCCACCCGGAGATGGTGTAAACAAACGCGCTTTCGCCCCTCACCGAGCACCAACACGGCGGTAGGTTGAACATTTTGGGATGGTCCTAAACGAATTATGGAATTAACACCAACGAGAGAATTTACACAAATGTCGAATGGAACATTTGTTATTTCATAACATTTATCTTTAGAGAAACAACTGCGTATCTTGGGCATGAATCAATTTATATTATTCAGCGATATAACGCTGCTCCGCTCGTTGTTTTATCTCCTATCAAGTGTGGCAGATCTAATCAAAGATACCATTTAATTTTGCTCCCAGCTCTTTATCTAGCTATCATTTAATGTGAACACTGGAGGGGATTGATCCCACAGCGCAGATGACTGTATTTAATAACCTAGCTAAGCATTTAATAAACTATCAATTCGACATACATTCTCCTAAAGATCTACATGCATTATTCTAACCATATTGCAGGCTTATCGAAGGAGCTGTGTCATTTGCTTTGAGAGGGGGTTGGGACACTTTAAATCTTATCTCCGTTTGAAATGGAGACATTTCGGGACAGAACCTAAAATCAAAATAAAAGGAAAGGAAATCATGGTGTGTGTATGTGTGTATGTGTGTGTGTCCATGCAGAGCACTATGGGAGTGATTCTCTATAGAGTTACATGTAGGTTAATTGACAGGTATTGGTTTGCGTTAATTACATTATACTTATATAATTAGAAAAATAAATCCACGCACTAACATGCACAGCTGGGCTCATTAGCCTACTAGAGGCATTACGTTTTTTTAACATGATCACAATATTTTGAACTCTAAAAGTAATTTAAGAACTATTTTCTAATATCACTGTTGAATGATTTATCTAAAATATATTGATTGATTAATGTATTTATTTGGCATGATTTATTGTGGACTTGGTGCCTGTTGTGCCAAGATGAATAGAGGGTTAGCTGAAGCTTCTTGTTTCGAAGTAGAATACTTTTTAGTCTATCAATTCATTGAGGAGCCTCGTGATTTTCTATTTATTCCGATCATTAGAAAATCTGTATTCTTATACATAATTAACCTGTTAATTGTAATTAGGCCTAACTCTTAGCGTAGTTTTCCCCAGCTGATTTTATTATATTTTTCCAAATCCCGATACCCTCCACAAATCTTTTTGAAAACTGAATCTGCTTGATAGTTGTGGTGTGGTAGTTTACTAATTTTGAAAGGGGAAAGAAAAGAAAACATAGGCTATTTTACCAGCTAATCTGAAATGTCATATTGGCATAACCATTTAGGTCCATCACATATGCGTGGAAATTGTTCTAATTCAATGCAAATAACAATTAAGTAAAGCGTGAATATTATCAGAAATGTGTGTTCATTTATGGGTATATTTGAAAATGCCACAATTTATTCTGCCTGTGTTGGAATGTGGCCAGAAATAGTGGGGGGATGCGGAATGGGGTGAATGGGTCTACCCGACGCCCAATGTGCCCCATGGGACCTTATAATAGGACCAGCACCGCAGAAACATGCTGTGAGAGGGCACGCCAAGGCACGTGCACGGGGAATTGGGGAAGAGCTTTCGTTGGGTCGCGTCTGTCGCCCATCTATAGCAACAGAAACCCCCCAAATGTGTAAATGTAGGCTACAGCTGTTAGCCTACAACTTTAATTAGCCTACAAGACGTACAAAATTACTAAGATTGAAATATTTAATAATATGTTATTTTTGACGAATAATCAAAGTAATTTTTGACTTATGAATTAACAAGATTTCTAAAAGTATTGTTTTTATGGAAATACATTGTATTCTTATTAAAACATTAGCATATTATATTACAGGCCTATGGAACTTGGCTCAAGTGCACTCATAGGTCTAAAGCTCAGTTGGTAGAGCATGGCGCTTGCAACGCCAGGGTTGTGGGTTCATTTCCCACGGGGGGCCAGTATGAAAAATGTATGCACTCACTAACTGTAAGTCGCTCTGGATAAGAGCGTCTGCTAAATGACTAAAATGTAAATGAAAAGGAATTTTGAATTCTGCGTTCAACTATTAAAGCTTATATGCCTATAAACCTTATTCTCTGACAGTATTTTTATTAAATATTTTTACATTTTTGTTGCATCTCGTCTGTCAATCAAAATCAATATTTGTATTTAAAAAAAAATCTATATTCGGATAATACATAGCCTATTCACTTATGCACTGTCTGAAACTACTTCTCTAGGACCTAAGTTCTCATCTGTCTTGTGATGTTTTCCAGTGCCACCATGTTGACAAGGCTATTCAGCGAGGTTCTGCCGGATGTCCAGAAGCTCTCGGGTTGGGTGGAGGACAGCGAGGGCGAGGATTCCAAAACCAAGGAGGACGACCTGGATCACCTGGAAGACGACGACTTGGATGACGGCGACGCCAGAGAGGGAAGCAGCCGGGATCAGTCAGAGATGGCTGGGGATGACGACGACGACGATGACGTCGACGATGAGGATTGTGGGGATGAGAACGAGGGGGGAGACAAACCCAAAAAGCGCGGCCCAAAGAAACGCAAGATGACGCCAGCAAGGATTGAGCGCTCGAAGGTGCGGCGTCAAAAAGCCAATGCACGAGAGAGAACGCGCATGCACGATTTGAACTCTGCACTGGACAATTTGCGTAAAGTAGTCCCCTGTTATTCCAAAACGCAAAAACTCTCCAAGATAGAGACGCTGAGACTGGCTAAGAATTACATTTGGGCGCTCGGAGAGATATTGCGCAATGGTAAAAGGCCAGATGTGGTATCCTACGTGCAGACACTGTGCAAGGGCCTATCACAGCCCACCACGAATCTAGTTGCTGGTTGTCTGCAGCTCAACTCTCGGAACTTCTTGACAGAGCAGTGTCCTGATGGGGCCCGGTTCCATGTCCCCAACTCCTCTTTCTCCGTGCACCCTTACTCCTACCAGTGTCCCCGTCTGTCTAGCCCTCAGTGCCAACCCGGCTCTAGTGGGCATATGAGGACCCATAACTACGGCTACGGCGACGCGGTCTACCCAGGGGCCGTCTCCCCGGAGTACAACAGCCCTGACTACGAGGGCCATCACAGTCCGCCTGTGTGCGTCAACGGAAACTTTTCCGTGAGGCAACAGGAGTCTGTGTCGCCAGATGCAGACAGGAACTATCACTATGCTATGCACTATTCTGGACTGTCTGCATCTCGCGCACCTGCTGCCCACGGCCTAGCGTTCGGCCCATCAGGAGTGCGCAGCGGTTCCGCGCACTCTGAAAACGTGCCGCCGCCGTTTCATGACGTTCACTTACACCATGACAGGGCGCCCGTGTACGAGGAACTGAACGCCTTCTTCCACAACTGAATCCTCCAAAACCCGAACAAACCTAGCGGACCCCTAAATACCCAAATGACAATCCTAATGTTATAATAGCCTACCCATTTTGACACTGGATGAGGTTTTTAGAGGACGGGAGATGGGGTGCCAGGAATTGAGAGAAAAAGCCCTATATTGTCAATGTTGGTCCTCTGTTTTATTGATGTCATTCCTGAACTATCATAATGTACATTTTAAGGTGTGTCAGAAATCAATATCTCCAATCAAATGTCGACCTGTATGCAGAATATGAGTGCAATCAAAACAAATGATGTATAGGCCTACATGAACGAAACATGCTATGATTAAAAAATAAAACAATATTTTATAACTGTCTGACATGCGGTGATTGACCAAGGGGGGTGGGGGGGAGCTTACTGTAGACAAGGACTCCATGATGGCATCATCACAAATGAATGATTTGGGTACATAGGCTATTGCACGTACATAGACTAATTCATAGGAACTGAGTTCATCAAAATATTATTTCAGTGACAACAACCACTTTCTGCAGCAGGTTCGTTTCCAAATCCATTATTGAAACGAATAACAATGTATCATTCAACCGACCAAACTTGCAATCCCTGTTTTAGGAATAGGCCTATAGTCTAATCGTTTTTTCACCTAGTTTTTTCCCCCATCTGTGTTTTACCCCTCAAGTTTAATGGAGAGATTCGACCAGCCCTTCATGTAACGTTATTCATCTCGTTCCACCCCCCCTCCACCCCCATCTGTGTTTTACCCCTCAAGTTTAATAAAGGAGAGATTCGACCAACCCTTCATGTAACGTTATTCAGTTAGATACATTTTTTTATTCTGTCTGTGACTTAATCTTTTGGACATTAATTTGACCACTTACAAGTAAATTGCCTTCAGGCAAGTTAGCATTCATAAACATCACGATTCACGCCTAAACCTATAGCTATGGAGACTGTCCATGTAACTTTCAATTTTCTTCGAACTAATTTTGGTACCCATTTAGAGCCCCTCACTGCATTCTAAATAAGTTTAATCGCAAAATTGTATACGCCTATCCCTCTAGACTAGAGAAAGCACACTAAGTTACTTATAAATTGACTTATGGAAATGTGACTTATGCTAATTTAGGCTTTGAGCTCCATTATGGTGATTATTTTAGAATCAATGTGGGCTGGCTACACAGTGAGAAGATATGGGATATAAATGATAGCCGATAGCCTATTATTCGGATGACACACATTTATGATGGAAACAAAATACAACAATACCATTTTTTGGATAATTTAAGGAGAGGAAAGTAAATAGGAAACCGATTGAGTCGAGCAAGAAAAATGGCTGTTAGGCCTATGACATACACTTGGAGCCTAGTGTTAGACGGAGAAATTGTTATCCTATTAGAGCTACTGCAAAACAAATGTAACCCAATATTTATTTATAAACCTAGATACAGTAAATTAAGAGTTTATTGCCAATCTTTTAAATGGGGCATGCCGCAAATAGCCTCGTTGTTATAGCCTATACACAATATCAACACTAGCAGGCATTATTCAGTAACGAGGTTTTGGCACTGCACTTCATATATTAGACAAAAAGTATATTCTTATCATATTACAATACTTGATCAGATGCCTAATATCCCCCGCCCCCCCCCCCCCCCCCCCCCCCCCCCCATTGAGGATAACAGACCTTTTTCATTTGTATCTTTTCATTATGGGACATATAGGCCTATCGCAAATTGCTCTCAGCATATAGATGTGGAGAAATTGCACCAGAGCTTATGACACATTTGGATAGGCCTTTCCTCTACTATTTTTGGTTTAGGGTATATTTTTACATAGCCCACATATCATATGTTTAATATATTTGAAACAAATGTATTTGCCAAGTTACTTTAATATAAGCAATTCTTTACAGACCTACGTTTATTTACATATTTGAAAATAAAATGAGTCAAATCAAATCACTGTTTATTTGTCGCGTACACAGATTAGCAGATGTTAAAGCAGGTGCAGCGAAATGCTTGTATTTGATGTATTATATGCATTTTAACACCAGTTGCAACGAATAATTTCATTTGAACAAAATTAAATTCCATTCAGAGATTCTAAAAACGTAGCATTCTCGCCGAGATAACAAATGCAAGACACATTTATAACCACATCTAGGCTATATCTTTCTTTAGAAATGTGGTGGCCAATGTGAATGATACAATATTGCTTACAATATTCCCATTTTATAGCATAGAACCACGCGTGTTTGTAGATGGTTAGTCCTTTATAAGCATGTTGGATTTAATATTATCAGTGGTGGTGACTTACTGAAAGGACCCGCCACTTTGGACCGCTGCCCCGGGACCCATATGTTCCACCGTTCGTCCGTATGATCAGCAGCGGGCACTGGGGAGCCCATCAAGGACTGCCCCTTAAACAAAAAATGAATAATTAGCCTAATAGATTGTGTTGCACAGATATATTTCTTTGTAACTTATTTTCAGTTCAGAATCTAACTTCTAATCTTTTTCATATTTTTTTTATATCAAATACAATGGTCAGATTGCTTAGAATATGCAGAAAAATTGTGGCGACACATACTAAAAGAATGGCCTAAAATAACAGGCATATGTGGGCCTATTCAGGCAATAAAACGATCAAATAAGAAGTTCAATAGCCTTTAGTAGACTATGTGTGAGAGCTTGCCTCGGTCTGCCTCTGAAAAATTATATTTGCCTGAAATAAAATAAAATAAATGTTCGTGCCTAATATTTTTAGCGTTTTAACATCAGAGGGGTCAAAGGCACTTTGGCGTGGCAAAGGCCCACCACATTCGAGAAAACAGCTTGCTATGCTACAACTTGGCAGGTCCTCAAATGTAAGTGTCTGGACCAAACAGAAATATCGCACTCACACCAGCAGATAACAATAGTAATTGAATTATATTAATGTACAATTACTTTATAGAATAACGATATTTACAGGCATACTCGTCGTCGATTTGCCTTTCACCTTTCACTATTTTGAAGAATTCACTGGACGTCTTCAACAGTGAGAAGGGCGTGCGGCAGGCCACAGGTTGCACGAGATTTCAATAGGCCTATCTAAAATAACGTTTGGTGTTATCTTTATACATTCCCCACTTTACAGTCGTATAAAGTGAAAAAATATAAAACTGCGATGAATTACAACAATATTGCAGCCTAATGACCAAGGCCTCCTTTCCCAGTTGCAATGTAAGCATTATGATGATCGTACCAGTTGCATCGTTATTTACGAGCCAACTTATTAAGTGTTTCTCAAACAAGCACCTAGAGAGAGATAACGTTCGCTAAGTGAGTCGTTAGACCATGTGTCGATTCTGATAGGATCGAAAGAAAAGCTAATATAGCATTAACCTTATTTATTCCACAATACTGACGACGGATCAGTTCCTAGAGAGATATAACCACCTATGGCTGCAAATATTGAGGCGATGTATTATGCTTACCCAATAATAGAGCACTAAATCACAGATTGGGCATATTATTACGCACATATTGTCACACATCATTAAACATATTGAGGAAAAAATGACAGAGAGTAGCCTAGTGGCAAAATCAAACAATATGATTGAAATATAGAGGCCCATGTAGCCTATTTATCTTTTAATGCAGTAATCTTGATTTTCATTTGAAGCATCGTTTTATCTTTCACTTGTTTGTAACAATTGCAAATACTTTCGCAACTTTGTTTTGTAGTCAACTTCGTTATGAAGTTATAGGCGGTCACAGTCACATGTATACCAGCCTAAACATCTTGATTCTATGTTTAGCGGAGATATTCTGTGAATAAAAAGACGCGGAAGGGCAAAAAAAACATCTAACGATGCACTTTGGCTGGTCTAAGACTGGTCTGGATCACTCGTAGATGTGCAAAGGTTTTTAAGAGCAACGTTACTGACGAAAGCTCTGGGAAACAGATCGGGTAGGCTACTAAAGATACATCGCAAGATGGTTCTAACGATGGTCTTAACGATACGAAGGCTCTGGGAAAAGTCTAAAATTGTAGTCTAAACTTGAGGCCTATCCTATGGGCTAATGCTGAACTCAAATATAATTTCGATAGCCACAGCAACCTATAGGCCTAGGCCTAGACTCTATCAAATAAGCTATAGAGGTCTCTTCATATGGAATTCATTGAAGTTAAGCCTCTAAGAAAAAAGTTTCATTCCACAGTCTAGGGTGAAAGGCCACATGAGGAAAGAGTGTGGCGTGCACCCTTTTTGTGCCATCCCCTCACTTTAACTGTAATGTAGGATACAGTTTTGGGGGCGGTGGTTGGCATTGGGTGGTGGCGACCGCTGCCAAAACGCTAAATGTCTCAGCACCAGTAGGCTAAGCGCGAGAAGAGGAGCCCGCCCTCGCGCTGCCAGCTGTGCCACGTGCCAGCCAGCGCGCCCGGCCAAAGTGGTACTTCTGGGAGGGGCGAGTATTTCTTTCCTAATTCAGTGGCATCTGTTCATTATTCTCAATCGGTATAGGCTTAAGAATGGTTTATGTGCGCGTTCCCGAACAAAAGTGACCTTCTTTAAAAAAATAAAAAATTCGGGGATGCACCTTTTACTGTAAACAGCAGAACGGTTGTCTAGGCATTTCTGAAAGGGAGAAAGATATATGTTCCGTAGCCATATTGGGTTCTCTCAGTAGGCCAATGGGATCTGATGAAAATACAACCAACCCCTTTTGCTGTGCATAGCCTTCATGACAGGTTACTATAACCAAAATATCACGTTTATTTTCACATAAATTAGGATTAGATTAACTGAAATTAATGTTAAAGAGATAGGAAAATGGAAGTCAAAATATTTGCAGAGAAACAGAGAAATAATACTAATAGGATAATCATAATGATAAAAATAAGAATATATTAATACTGACATCTAATATGTAATATGATTATTATCTTTGCTGTTAATTATCAACAATATTGATTTTGGTGTAGATCAAGGCCTACCAATAAAATGTATATGGTCATTATAAAATAATTCATTTGTTTTTAACCAACCCTTGTGGGCACCAAATTAGATGTTAGAATTACTTCAACAAAAGGCCTTTAAAAAAATATTTTTATACTGGTTTGGTATTCTATTTCATACCTTTAGTTATAAGCAGGATACGATACACTTTTGAGAGGAGATAACTAAGAAAATGTGAGTAGGCAGACTATAAGGTAACTGAGTGGGACTACTTTATTCTAGTTCCAGAGAATATTGATTTATGAAATAACACATCTTTAGAAGCCTAATCCTTATACTAAATAAACGTGTTTTTTGCTTCACACTTGAAGCCAGTTGACAGCAAAATAACTAAAACAAGAATGCCTATACATGTACAGGCATAAGTAACT